ATACAAATAATTATGAAATGTCTGTTGAAAGGTTGTTAATAATGGTAAATTTTAATACCAGGCAGTCATTTTAAAGTGATGCTATAAAAGAGATTTTAATGACATGAAAAGGATTTTTAATGTTGTTGTTGTTGTTGTTTTTCTTTATTTTACACATTTTAATTAAATGGATATTTTGTGATTAAGAAAACTTGTAACATAGGTTTCTGTAGTGCTAACAATTGCTTTTTATAATTGGCTTGGTCTCTCAGCACCAGCAACTCCATGGAAGTCCATCTGGTGGCATCACTGTGTTTTTTTGTTTGTTTGTTTGTTTTTATTTAAAAAATATTTTTTCATTTTTTCTTTTTAGTTATATATGACTGCAGAATGTATTTCGACATATCACCCATTCATGTTGTTAACTGAGGAAAACAGATGACCAATAGTATATAATCATACAGAATGCAATTTCATTTTTATAAAAAGGGTATATGTGTATATGTAAGACACATGATATGTATGTGTGTGTTTATCAGATAAAAAGTTAACCCTGCTTATATTGATAGTAGGATTATGGATAGCTTTTTATTTATTTGTGCTTTTCTATGTATTATTTAATGAATTTATCATTTAATTTTTTTTTGTACTAGTGATTGAACCCAGGGGCACTTAACCACTGAGTCACATTCCCAGCCCTTCTTATCTATTTATTTATTTATTTTTGGTACTGGTGATTGAACTCAGGAGCTCATGACCACTGAGCCATTATACCTGACTCATTTAATATTTTTGTAAACAGAAAGCCCACAAATATTGTCATTTAAAAAAATTAGAATTTTCCTAGTTCAAGTTACCTACCTAGACACACCTGAAGGGAAGTGCTTCCTTCCCAGGGGGCTGCAGCTGCAGCTGCTCCTGCTAGGAAGGCTGCTATAAACAGATGGTAATCATACCAGCTTCCATTCTTGCTTGTTGTTGCTGCCAAGTAGCAGGATTGAAGAGGAAAGGAAATAATATGCATTTACTCAGTTTGACTAAATGCCAGACTTAGGTCTGGATGCTTTATCTGTATTTCATTTTCACACTGCCACCATATAGCCTCATTAGATAACTGCAAATTCTGGTTAGCAGGCAATAAGATACCACACCTGAAGCAGAGGGCTTGGACTTTGGAAGTTTCATGTTCTTGTCTCCAGTTGCAGTGGTGATTTTTCTGCCCTTCCCCTGCCTACTGGTGAAACAGCATGTTGGTGTTAGTCTTTATGGCAAAACAGAAGAAAACCAGGATTTATTTTACTGAAGTCACAAATGTCTGACCAATTGTGTTTCCCTCATGGTTTAGCCTACTTCACACAATACACTAAATATGGAGTGAAAGCACAGGTGTGGGCAGCCAGCAGAGTGAAAGCACCTCATGAGAAAGGAAGGTTTTGACTTTTCCTAACTGAGGCCTTGAGGTAGTCTGGTATGCCAGTGATTGTCAATGGCCCAGGGGAGGGAGGCAAGCAGCAGCATCTGGAGTGCTCTTTTTTATGTTTTCATAAAATTTAAAACATATGCAAAAGTAGAAAAATGGATAAATCCCATATCTTACCCAGCCTCAAAAATTATCTGCTCTTAACAGTTTTGTTTCATCCATATTCACACTCTTCCCCACCAAAGAATTGTATGTGTATGGTGCTAGGGATTGAACTCAGGGTCTCATGTATGCTCTGCAAGCACTCTACCACTAAGCTATATCTCCAGCCCCCAAAGTGACTATTTTGAAATACATAGTATGTCTTTTCAAATTTTAGCCTCCTTCTGTTGTTTTTTTAATAACATGTGCAAACTTGGAAATGTTCTCTGCTTGTACTATTCATGGCAAGAGTTGTTTGATACTTTCCTTCCATAATACAGATAAGTCACATATGTGTGAACCATGATAGATTGGGAGGAATCCTAACATTGCTCCTGATTTTTCTGCTGTTTTCTGATGATCTGTGAAAATTTGTGAATAAGGAGACCTATAAACCCATGATAAACGTGAACTAGTAAGAAGTCAGTGTGTTAGATCTTCACCACTGTGACAAATACATGAGGAAACAACTTAGATGAGGAAAGATTTTGGCTCATCATTTCAGGCCATGATTGGCTGGCTCCATTGCTTTGGCCTGAGGTGAGGCAGAATTTCATGGTAAAAGGATGTGGTGGAGAAAGGCTATTCAGTAGTGGCACCCAGGAAGGAGATGGAGAGAGAAGGAGAGAACAGGGACAAGATACAGTCCCTGGGGGCATGCCCAAGGACTTACTCTTTTCCTAGGTCCCACCTCTTACACTTTTCATGACTTCCCAATAGTCCATTCAGCTATCAATGGATTAACCCACTGATGGGGCCAGAGCCCCATTGATCCAGTTATTTCCAAAAGTCCCACTTCAAAACTTTGCTGCATTGGGGACCAAGACTTGAACACATGAATCTTTGGGGGACACTTTGTATCCCAAACCATAACAGTAAGGTGACAGAAAAAAAACCCCATTCATTTATTATTATTATTTTTTATTTATTCAAGCATTCATTTATTCCTGCATACACTGATGGTGCATAGCAATCCTTATCCATTCTGTGTGCTTTTTGTTCTTCCTCTGGCTCTGGCTTCTTTTCTTTGGACTCTGAAAAAGTCTTCACCTTTAAGTGGTCTTTATACCTGAGGAGAGGCATGAACTTATGCTGTTGTTTGTAGGTCTATATTGATTGGTCTCCTGAAAGAAGATCAGAGAACCTCAACTGCAAAGTAGCGCTTATTTGGATTCTCAAAGCTTCCTCCTTTCTGTAAAATTCCCTGATTCATCCAGACTGGGTACTCTTCCTTCAATATTTCCTCTGCCTTTTGCACCTTGCTAAGGGGTAGTAAGACTGAACCTAATTTTGTATATTATTTTATATTCTTTTTCTTAAGGAGTCCTCCCCCTCCCTGCAACTGTATAAGATTTAGGTTCCAGGAAATCTGGATCCATCCCTTCATATACCTTCAAAATAGTAAATATCATATTTTCCTCTGATTATTTATTCATGGTTTTTGGATTTCCATACTTAGCACAGTGTTTGCCACATAGTAACTGCTCAATAAATACGCAATACAAGTTTTCAGAAATTTTATCTGTAGGTCTTTCTATGTCATTGGGCATTTATTATTAGTGACATTAAGAATTCAAAGTAAGGCCAGGCCTGGTGGAGCACACCTGTAATCCCAGCAGCTCAGGAGGCTGAGGCAGGAGGATTTAGAGTTCAAATCCAGCTTCAGCAACAGCAAAGCGCTAAGCAACTCAGTGAAACCCTGTCTCTAAATAAAATACAAAATAGGGCTAGGGATGTGGCTCGGTGGCCGAAAGCCTGAGTTCAATTCCCAGTACCAAAAAAAAAAAAAAAAAAAAAAAAGAATTCAAATTAAGGCATACAAGTCTACTAAAAGGAAGCTGATTGGCCCATCCCAAGATATTACATCTGTCCTTCAGCAACTTTTCTCAATCCAGGTTACCTTTCCTTTGCATACAGGACAGAAAACTGCCCTTGCTTCACTAGGATAAGCAAATTGTCCCACAGACACATAAAATTGGCAGGAATCCTAGAGTCAGTGCCTACTTGAGGTTAGCTCTCCTAAGATATCTTTTTTTTTTTTCCCAAGAAGGATAACATTTTAATCCAACAGTACGTGTTTATTGTTGAAAACATGGAAAGAGAATAACACTATAAGCCCACCACCCAGAGAAATAATTTACTGCTACACACACACACACACACACACACACATATATATATATATATATATCTGTATCAAATTTTTTTATAACTTTATTTATTTATTTATATGTGGTGCTGAGGATCGAACCCAGGGCCTTGCACATGCGAGGTGAGCACTCTACCGCTGAGCCATAACCCCAGCCTCTCAATTTTTTTTTTCGGGGGGGGGGGGTTGGTACAGGGAATTGCATCCAGGGGTGGTCTGCCAATGAACTCTATCCCGGCACTTTTTATTTTTTTGAGACAGGGTCTCACTAAGTTTGCCCAGGTTGGCCTCAAATTTGGGACCCTCTTTTCTCAGTCTCCCCACTCGCTGGAATTACAGGCATGCTTCACTGCCACCGCGCCCGTCTTCAATATTTTTTAAAAAAGAACTCATTTACACACATAGTATAATGTGAAAGAACATCCTCCAGTATGCAATAATCAATACTCAACTTCCAGTCTGAAACTTAATTTTCAAAAGCTTTTAATAAAATTGATTTGCAATCTCTGATAGAAAGCGTTAACTATCAGCTATGGCGCATGCATGCCAGTATTTCCAGAGACTGGGGAGGGTAAGGCAGGTTTGAGGCCAGTCTCGGCAACTTAGACTTCCGTTCCAAAAAAAAAAAAAAAAAAAAAAAAAAAATGGCCAGGCGTGTGGCTCAGCAGTGAAGCGCCCCTGGGTCCAATCTCCATCACTACCAAAACAAAAAACAAAACACAGTGAAGTATCTTGTTCTAGTGCACAAAGACTGGAGTTATTTATACCTAAGTAATTATAATTTTGTAATGTGTCACACAAATGCAATATAATGCGCATAGATACAATATAAACTACAAATGCCGAGGACAATTGCAAAATATCCTTTTATTTATAATGAGGCGACTCCACTTCCACGCACCGCTCCAGGGGGCACTGAAAGGGAATATCTGACGAGAAGGATCAAGATGGGCTCCTGGGGTCTTCCCGCTAGATTATTTCACCTCTAAACGTTGTGAAGTTGAGGAAGGTTCACTTGACTGGTTTAGATTAAAAAAAAAAAAAAATCATTTCGTCAAGGAAAAAAGCGGCGGGAAGCGACCAAGCGTTTGAATGCAGCTGAGGAGGAAACCGCGTCAGCTCAGTTTTCCAATTCCGGAATGCCGCGGAAGCCCCGCCCGGGGCGACGCGGGGCCTGCTGGGAGCTGTAGTGTGGCTCGCGCTGGCTCGCCGCGCCCGGGGCCCCACCAGACTGCGTTTCCCGGCAGGCCGCGCGCGGAGGCTGCCGGCGGGAGTGGAGTGCCGCGGTGGCTGTGAGAAAGTGACCCGTCGGCCTTGGTTCCGGTGTTAGCGATGGCTTCCTTCGTGACGGAGGTTTTGGCTCATTCGGGGAGCCTGGAGAAGGAGGATCTCGGCACCCGGATCAGCCGCCTGACCCGGAGGGTGGAGGAGATCAAGGTGAGTGGGGGCTGGCGCCTTCTGACCCGAAAGGGGCGCCGGGTGGATGTTTAGGGACAAGAGAGGAGCCGGACAGACAGCAGGTGTCTCCGAAGTGGGGCAAACCGGGGAGGTCCGGCTGGGGGAGTTGCGTGGGAGGAGAGGCGTGTGGGTTGGGGAGAGCGCTCCGACGGGAGTCCGGGGCGGCCCGGCGTAGAGGAGGACTGGGACTGCGGGAGGGAGGGGTGGTGTTTGGCGAGGGTCAGGGAGTGGTTAGGCTGGGGACGGGTGCACCCGGGGGAAGGAGCTGGGGAAGACCAGCACAGCGGGAGGTGGAGCTGGAAGCGCCAAGAGGGAGCGTCTGAGATGGACAGAGGACCAGACCAGTCACCCATCTGTGAGTGTTCCATCTCCTCCACCCAGTCTTCCATTTGTGGGTGGAAATAATAGCTTTGGGAGGATTGCGTCGTCCTCCTCCCTGAAATTTCTTTTTGAACTCTGAATATGTTTTTAAAACTGTTCTTCATCCCCAAATACTTGAGGCCGTGCTGAAGGTTATGCCATTATTATACATGGACCTGCCGCTTCTGGCCACACAGTCTCATTTTCTACTGATATTACCTTGCCAGTATTGGCCCACATCTTCAGTGACTTTCATTAAAACTTTTATGTACCTGCTTAAGTCTAGACTAAGGGAACAAGTTCGGCACACACCACAAAGTCAAAAGATAGATCGCTTCTTAACAACTCTTGATCATACAAAAGTGGTTTCTGAAATTTTAAGTATACCTATCACTGACATTTCCATTACATGATTTTGGGGATTTTCAACACTGTTTAATGTTATGGAAAGGGCCTATTTAAGCTACCTTATGACACTCAAGACTCCTACCTTTCTAGACCTAAGCTACATTTCCTTTGACTAGTTTTTTTTATCATCTTAAGTCTTAAACCAATTGAAATTAATTTCTATGGTCCATTCAGGCCCAATTTGTTTTTTCTAGTTCCCAGATTTTGCTCATATTATTTACGTCTATCTTTCTGCCATTTTTCAATGTATTCTACCCATTTTTCATTTTCCATCTCAAATTAATCTCCTGCATTAAAAATAACCTCATTTTATCCCAGAGGTGATTTTTCTCATTTGTTTTTCTGGAGGATTTTGTGACTATTACATTTCAGTCATTTTTTTTTGGTTACTGCAGTGTATAGAATCTTTCCTAGCAAAAAAGGAATTTGTTAAAAGCATATTTATTTTTGTATTGTCCAAAGCATTAAATAATTCAATGCAGGGTAAATTGTTTATAAAGATAATCTCGATTAAAGGAGATAATGAAGCTCATTATTTTGGGTTTTGAGAGTAGGCCTTAAAATTTCATAGGCTAGAAGATAAAAATAGATTGAGGTATACATATAATTGATTTCATTTATCCATTTACTTTTCTATTAGATATCTGATTAAAATTGGTGGATACAGTCTGATATATTCAATATGAGAACTTCTGGCTTCACCTTTCTTTTTTCCAGCATTTGTACAATTTTTGGACACTGTTGATATTTGGTAATGTGCGGGCCACTTAAAGGTGGGAGAAATATGTTTTTGAAAGAAGCTCATTAGCTTGGAGGGAAGGTGAATGCTGTGAGTTAACTGTTAAGAAAACTCCCACATGCAAGATGACTCTTAGAAAATGAGCTATGTATTGTTAGCAGAGTTAGTTCCCTACTCATCTCCCTGTTTATGATTTTTTTTTAATATTATAGGGTGAGGTATGCAATATGATCAGCAAGAAGTACAGTGAATTTCTGCCTAGTATGCAGAGTGCACAGGACCTTGTTACCCAGGTGGATAAACTATCTGATGATATTGACCTGCTGAAATCCAGAATAGAGAGTGAGGTAAGAATAGTTTGTTTTTAGCAATTTTGGGGGGGCACTGGGGATTGAACTCAGGGATGCTTAACCACTGAGCCACATTCCCAGCTCTGTTTTGTATTTTATTTATAGACAGCGTCTCAGTCAGTTGCTTAGTGCCTCGCTGTTGCTGAGGCTAGCTGAGGCTAGTTTTAAGCGCGAGATTCTCCTGCCTCAGCCGCTGGTGAGGCTGGAGGAATCACAAGCATGAACCACTGTGCCTATGTTTTGTCAATTTAAAAAAATTTTTGCAGTATTGGGGATTGAACTCTGGGCCTTGCATGTGCTAGGCAGGTGCTCTACCATTGAACCATATATCTCTACTTTCCTAGAATAGTTTTTTTTTTGGGTAGGTTTATAAGGAGGCAATTCAGCTTCCTGATTTCTAAGATAACTTAGTTCCACACAACTCTTCTTCCTTCCTACCATCCCTCTCTTCTTGCCCCCTTCCTTTCTTCCATCCTTCCTTCCTGTACTGGGGATTGAACCCAGGTATGCTTTACTATTGAGTTACATAGCCAGCCCTTTTTATTGCTTATTTTGAGGCGGGGTCTCACTAAGTTGCTTAGGACCTCACTCAGTTGCTGAGGCTGGCCTTGAACTTGTGATCCTCCTATGTCAGCCTCCTGAGTCAGTAGGAATACAGGTGTGTGTCACGTGCCTGGCATTATACAGCTTTTCAAGACATCACTTTCCTTATTGGTAAATGGAAGGTAAACCAAATGATTATAGGCGAATTGAAACATTTTGTAAAATAATAAACTTTTTTTTTTTTGTACTGGGAATTGAATACAGGTGTGCTTAACTACTGAGCCATATCCACAGCCCTATCTGTCATCTATTTATTTATTTATTTTTCAAGGGAGCCATCTTATTTTATTGATCCCCCCCCCCACCAATTTCTAAACTCTTCAGGTAATTAAGCTCTAGGGTTCATGGCTCTGGAACATGCTGTGAACATTGTATTAACCCCCATGATGAACCTGATTTTTTTTAAATTTTTTTTTTAGTTGTCAATGGACCTTTAATTTATTTACTTATATGTGGTGCTGAGAATTGAACCCAGTGCCTCACACATGGTAGGTAAGCACTCTATCACTGAGCCACAACCCCCCCAGTGAACCTGATTTTTACTATTTTGCTCTCGTTGAAATGTTACCCCCTGTACCCCTGTCCCCTGTTGGTAGTAATTCTCCTCTGTGGTTGAATTCTAATGTAGAGATGTTACGGTTTCAGAGGTCTTAGTGCATAGACAGCCAGCTCCATACTTTTGGGCCCAAGGTGAGGTAGAACATCAAGGTAGAAGGGCGTGGCAAAAGAAGGAAGCTCAGGACATGACAATCAGAAAGTAGAGAGAACTTATTTATTTATTTTGAGACAGAGTCTCACAAGTTGCTTCGGGGCCTTGCTAAGTTGCTGAGGTTGGCCTCTAGCTTGTGGTCCCCTGCTTTAGTCTCCCAAGCTGCTTGGATTACAGGTGTGTGCCACCACAGCCAGAACATGCATCTTTTTTTTTTTTTTTTTTTGTAGTTGTTGTAAATGGACAGAATGCCTTTATTTTATTTGTTTATTTTTATGTGGTGCCGAGGATTGAACCCAGAGCCTCACTCATGTTAGGGAAGCCCTCTTCCCTGAGCTACAGCCCAGCCCCACATGCGTGTTTTATTTTTATTTATTTATTTATTTTTAATTTTTTTTTAAAGGGGGGGGTGGGGAGAGAGAATTTTAATATTTATTTTTTTTAGTTTTCGGCGGACACAACATCTTTGTTTGTATGTGGTGCTAAGGATCGAACCCCGGCTGCACACATGCCAGGCGAGCGTGCTACCGCTTGAGCCTGATCCCCAGCCCACATGCGTGTTTTAATGGCCAGTATTCTCTTAGATTTGTATCTGGCCTCAACACTTTGAAGCTTCAGCACAGTCTTCCTTGTCTTTGGCTGTCTCTTGGAAAGTTGGTTTGGTTTGCCTACCATAGTCACTCTACTTGCTGCCATCAAGCTACTTTCCTTGAGCAAACAGGATCTGTGCCCTTCTTGTACAGTATCAATTTGTGGGCCTAGTGCTTAAAATAATTCTTATGTAGAGTCTGGCAGATTTTAGAAATGTTTACCATGTTTGCTGGGGTCCTGTCATCATTCTAGTAAGCAGGAGTAAATATAAGCAGGCCAATTTGGAAACAAATATCTGCTTTAACAATGAATCCCTCTATTATGTATAATTATAATGCATCAAGAAAAATAATAATTATAAAACTTTTTAAAGTATACTTTTTAAAGTATTTATTTGCTCATATATTATCTCACCAGGATTTTTTTCCCTGCAGTTTTCTTTTAGAAACAATAAGCATTATAGCTGGGGGCAGTGGTGCACACCTGTAATCCCATTAGCTCTGGAGGCTGAGGCAGAAGGATTGTAATTCAAAGCCAGCCTTAACAACTTAAAGAGTTCCTAAGGAACTTAGTGAGACCCTGTCTCAAATAGAAATTAAAAAGGCTGGGAATGTGGCTTAGTGGTTAAGTACCCCTGGGTTCAATTCCAGTACCTAAATAAATAAATAAATAATATAGCATTTGGAAGAAAACATGCTGATACTAGATATTTAAACAAAATCTAACCTCAAGTGTCTCTATAAAATAATTTCTCAGGGATCTTGATACCAAAATCATGATGTTGAGGTATTGTCTAAGTCTTTATCATCAAGAAGAAACAGGACACTGTTTCCTGTGTGATAGTTATTAAAGAACAAATGTTTTCTTCTAAAGTTCTATGTAGAACTTGACTCACAAATGAGAAAACTGTTGGTTACATAGAAAGTCTGTTAGAAGCCCTAACAATCACTCGTGATCATTTTAATCATCCTAATTAGTGTTTTTAATAAAAATAAATCAGGGCACAGTGGCTGACACCCATAATCCCAGTGACTCAGGAGGCCTAGTCAGGAGGATTGCAGTTTAAAGCTAACCTTTGCAACTTAGTGAGAACCTGTCTTAAAATAATATAAAAAAGGCTTGGGGCTATAGCTTAGTGGTAAAGCACCCCTGGATTCAATCACCAGCACTGCTCACCCCAGATCTGTTACTTTACAACCATGGCACATTTGAAAGAATATTCCCAGAGTGTATTTGTACTTCATTGATTATTTGTTCAGTGAGTCAGTAATGCAATGTTAGACCATGCTGTTAGAAGTGAAGTATCTTAGTCAGGCATGGTGGTGGACATCTGTAATCCCAGTGACGTGGAAGACTAAGGCAGTAAGATTACAAGTTTGAGGCCAGTCTCAGTATCTTAGATCTTGTCCCAAAAAGGGCTGAGGATGTAACTGCCCAGCAATTCAACTGCCCCACTCAACCCCTAGTACCAAAAAGCGAAAAAAGATGGAGTGACTAAAAGAAGACATTAATGGGGGGCTCTGTGTACCTTTTATGGGCAGATTATAGCTGGTGAAATGTGTTCGTTTCTGATTGTTGTAATTTGAAAGATGGTTGGTCTGGATGAGAAGGTTCTGAACACTACCATTGAAGAACAATGAAAGAAGCAAGAAACTGAAGATAGTAAGCCTTAGGAAGAGACATTTTTAATATTTAAACCCCCATCATATGGGAAAAAGATACATATTTAGGGCTTAAGAAGGAGAATTAAATTTAGTAAGTAAATGTTGCAAAGAAAAATTGTTCAGATATTTGGCGTAATTATCAAGTACCTGCAAGGTGTAAGAAACTGTGATCATTGCTAATGAGATTGTTTTTATTTCACAGATAAGTCTCAGATATAGATGAGTAAAATAGTGTAATGCAGTAGTAAATAGGAGTAATCTAGTTAGACGAGATGTAGCCAAGAATGGCTTCCCACCCGAAATAGTCTCCAAACCAAGGCCTGAATATTATGTGGTTAGGCCACAAGGGAAGGCATAAGGAATTTTAGGTAGGCATAAGGAATAACATTGCAGAGGTATGGAGGTAATGAAGAGTTGTCACTTTTGAGGGCTGCAAATATTCCATATGACCGATGTTTATGAACTGCATTGGAAGGGATGTGAGAAGAGATTAGAAAGGTAAGCAAGTACTTTGTATTAGGTTAGTAGTATGGATGGCATCGTCAAAGCCATGGAGGAATTTAAGATTTGAATTTTAGGAGTCCCATTCAGCATGCAGTTTGAAGAAAGTACTTGAGGGAAATGAGCTTGGGAAATGGGAAAGCAGAGTGTTAGATGCTGTTAAAATAATTCAGGAAAAATAGTTTGTTGATCTAAAGTCATTAGTAAGGGAGATGAGAAAAATGGACAAATCTTGGTGACGTTTAAGATTTAGGATCTTTGGGATATATTGATATGGCAAGTGAAGGCAAGGTTCAGGGGTTAAGAATAATTGGGGAACTAGCTCAGTGATATACCATTCACTGAAATAGAGAATATAGAGAAAGAGTAGGTGTTTGTTGAAGATTTGGGATGTTTAAATTTAAGGTACCTGAAGGATGTCCAGATGGACTTGCACAGTTAGATTGTATTAAAATGAAGGCTAGAGTATTATAAAAAAATGAAAGAAAGAAAAAAAGACTTTGAAATGCAATGACTCAAACAAGGTATATTAAAAAAAATGATATTAGTTTAGGTTAGCAAACTTATTCTACAGCCTAAGGTCTGGCTACCCTAGTATAGTCTATGCCAACATAGATAATTTTTTATTTTATTTTGAGAGAGATTCTCTCTAGTTTGCCCAGGCTAAATTCAAACTTGTAATCAGCTTGCCTTAATCTCCTGAGCTTCTGGGGTTATAGGTGTGCACTATCGTCCCCAAGATTAAAAAAGAAAAAAAAAAAAAAGCAATCTTTCTAATAGTTAAAACTCTTCAGTTACAGATATCACTTTGGCAACTGGGAATACCTTACTAGTAATTTTAAGTGGATGAAATCTGCTGAAAGATAACTGTTTAAGAATAGAAAATCTCATGAGGAAGTTGTGTTGATAGGGTACTTTACCACTGAACTTCATCCTCACTGTTTGTATTTTTTATTTTTGAAACAAAGTCTCACTGTGTTGGTTAAGACCTTGCTAAGTTGCTGAGGCTGATCTTGAACTTGCAGTCCTCCTGCCTCAGCCTCCCTAGTTGCTGGGATTACAGGCATGCACCACTGGGATCATGTGGCATGGGTATTCTTACACAGGATAAAGGTTTGGACTAAGTGGACCTCTAAGTTCTCTTTCAATACCTTCTGTGATTTTACTGCAATTGAGACTAGTATTTAAATTTCAACATGAATTATATTGACCTACTAGCTTATTGATTAGCTGTAAAGGTTTTATTTCTTAGGTATGGTATAGCTTAAAAGTTTGTTTGTTTTTTAAACTAGAGAGATTATTTTTATTTTTAAAAATAATTTGCTAATATTATTGATTACAAAATAACTTTTTCCTTGAATGACATCTGCCACTAAAAGTACTTATTTTGTATGTATGAATTAGGTCCGTCGTGATCTTCATGTATCGACTGCTGAATTTTCAGACTTGAAACAACAGTTGGAAAGAGACTCAGTAGTCCTGAGTTTGCTTAAACAGCTACAAGAGGTTGGTAAACTCAGCTCAAATGTTAATGTTTTGATGGTGAGAAAGTAATTTTTTTCCAGTTCTCATTGTTCAGTGCATATTTCCTGACCAAAATTTTTTTTCGTATTTTATTTTATGGGTTCAGTTGGGATTGAACCTGGAAGTGCTTTACCACTGAGCTACATCCCTAGTTCTTTTTACTTTTTGAGACAGGGTCTCACTAAGTTGCCACAGCTGGCCTCAATCTCATGATCCTCCTGTCTCAGTCTCCCAAGTCACTGGGATTCTAGGCAAGCACCTTTGTGCCCTGCTTTTTTCATATTTTTAAAAAACAGACTTGAAATACTAGGGCGTATACAATAAAATACTTCATAACTTGGACTTCTCTTTTCAGTTTTCTACTGCTATTGAAGAATATAATTGTGCGTTAACAGAGAAGAAATATGTCATTGCTGCTCAGCACCTGGAAGAGGTACTAAAAGCTTTCTGTAAAACATAACCAATTAGTGCTATCCTTGTTCTTAGTATACGTTGTGTTCTGTGTATTCTTTATTATTATACAAATATATTCTTAATTTCTCTGAGTCCAGGTGGAGTATTTAACAATGCTTCCATTTCACTACCAGGCACAGAAATGTTTGAAGTTATTAAAATCCAGAAAATGCTTTGATTTAAAAATATTGAAATCTCTCAGCATGGAGCTCACAATACAGAAACAGAACATACTTTATCACCTTGGAGAAGAGTGGCAGAAGTTGATTGTATGGAAGTTCCCATCATCAAAAGGTGCTTCTGACCTCAGGTGGACTGCTTTGCTTAATCTGCCAGAACCAGTTTGAACTCTGAATATTTTGTATTGGAAGATGAAGTTTCAGTTATTAGTCCCCCAAGTCTATGTTGAAACCTTATGATAAACAAGGAGTCCCTAAAGTGACCTCACTTTACTTTCCTTCCACCTTTTTTTCTTTCCCCTTCTGTAGGAAAGAGAGGATGGATGATTAGTGGTTAAGGTCTACATGGTAAGGGTGGGGTGGAGAAGGAGGTAGTAGTTTGAGACCATGCGAAGTTTCTTATAGCCTCATAGAATGTACCTGTATCAACAGAACTAATCCCAGCAGTTGTCTTGGATGGAAAGCTTAAGGAAACCATTTAGCCATTCTCTCTTGCTGAGGAAAGAAGGCAGGAGGGGCAGAGCAAGAGGGATTATGGGTAGAAGATGGGTTTGGCTCAGTTCTTTTTCAGTTCTTGGGGGAAATATGAGTATTTTGAAGGAAGTAATTTTGGAAAACAATTTTGGATTCTGCTTACAAGTAGGCTGAAGAGAAGATGGCAGGTGTGTTGGGCTTTTTGTCACAATATTACAACTTGTTTGGCAGGTGTATCTTTTTTTAGTTGTAGATGGACACAGTAACTTTGTTTTTACAATTTTTTTTGTAGTTATAGATGGACAGCATACCTTTATTTTATTTATTTTTATGTGGTGCTGAGGATCAAACCCAGTGCTTCACATGTGTGAGCCAAATGCTTTGCCCCTGAGCTACGATCCTAGCCCAATAACTTTGTTTTATTTATTTATTTTTATGTGGTGCTGAGGATCAAACCCATTGCTTCACAGGTGCGAGGCAAGTGCTTTGCCACTGAGATACAACCCCAGCCCAGGCAGATATATCTCTTGTTAAAAAAAAGCACACAGAAGCCAGGTGCAGTGGCTCACACCTGTAATCCCAGTGGCTTGGGAGGCTGAGGCAGGAGGATCATGAGTTCAAAGCCAGCCACAGCAAAAGTGAAGTGCTAAGCAACTCAGTGAGACCCTGTTTCTAAATAAAATACAAAATAGGACTGGGGATGTGGTTCAGTGGTCAAGTGCCCCTGAGTTCAAGCCCTGGTACCAAAATAAAAGAACATAGAAAAGGAGGTCTATAGAACTAGGAACTCATTTTTTGTCCTTTGCTTTCAGTTTGTCATTCAGTATATATTTAGTAAGCATTTCTTTTAGGCAGTCATCTTTTACAATTAATTTGTTTCTCTGGACATACCAAAAAAACCATTTCCTGTTTTAAAGTGATGCCAGTGACATGCATGTCATAATTAATATTTGGTTGTATTAAAATATATTGTAATGAAACTACATGCTTAGAAATCTCAGTGGAGAATAGGCTCTGAGGAGTAGAAGTGAGATTGTGTATTGCTCAAGCAACTGATATTTTTTTCCCTTTATTCTTAGATACCAGCAGTTTAAAATCTTGCCTGCAAACAGAACTTCATTTGTGTACTGAACAATCCCAGAAAGAGGAGAAGACCCTTATGCCATCCATGAGTTCTGTCTTGTTGGCATTTTCTATCCTTGGAGAACTACACACTAAGCTTAAATCATTCGGTAAAGCATATGGTTTGTTTCATTCATATTAAAGGCACAGGAGGCCTAGTGTTAAAAGGATGACAAGATTATAAAGTATATTCTGGAGAATATTTATGACAGTGTTTTGCCTCATGATTCATCAAAAGGAGAAAAAGGGCTTGTATTTTTTCTTTTTTCCTTTAGAAAAAACATAGTTTCTATTTACTTATTTTGTTTTTTAAAATCAGAAAATTTCAGTGGGAATACTTGTAGTGCACAAAGTCATAGTATATGTATTTTGGTTGTGAGGATGAACTATATAGATAATAGATTTTTTTTTTTTTTTTTTTTTGCACGTTTACTCTTTAGAAGTTTCCTCATGATTTTTGGTGAATATTCATATGATTTTTAGGTCAGATGCTGCTGAAGTATATCCTTAGGCCTTTGGCATCTTGCCCATCCCTTTATGCAGTGATAGAAAGCCAGCCTAATATAGTTATTGTTCGTTTCGAATCTCTCGTGTCTGACTTGGAACATCCATCACCATCTGAAGTTTTTGAAAAGATCCGACTCGTGCTAGAAGTGCTTCAGAAACAGCTTCTAGGTGTGTATCCCCAAAATAGTGCTTTTATACTTTGGAAAAACAAATATTGTTTTATAAAGTAAATATTATGTTATTTTAAAGTTGAAATGCCTGTAATGTGAATGAAGGGAGGATCAGAAGTAAGTGATGCCAAAGGAACAAAGTAATTACCTTCTTATTTCTTGCCTACTTTGCATTTCTTCCCTGCTCTATATTGACAAGTCTTGTCATCAGTGGTACCACCAGATTCTGTATTTGTAATTTAGTTAAATGCCAGGATCTAATTTTCTTACTGAACTTCTAGTAACATTACATTTTGGGAATCTTGCATTAATTACAGGAGGAGATATTAACTAAATGTTTTACAAGTTTCAGTGGGAAAATCCCATTAATCTGATGTAAACAAACAAACTGGGTTTAACATAAAAAATAAGTTACATTTCAGCTTAGCCTATTGGTTAGATGTTTATTCACATTAGGAATAACCAGTTTCTGTGTTGCTTTGAATCAGTTTATTTTATTTATCATCCTATTAGAAATAAAGTTTTCTTTGGTGTTTTATTTTATTACTGTTGTTTTTTTTAAAATCAATTTGACTTATCTTCATTTTGCTTTTCTCATTGTCTTGTTGAATAGTTTAGCCAACATTCTGACTCTGGAGAAAATTAAAAAGTGCTGTAGCTGGGCATGGTGGCACATGCCTATAATCTCAGTGACTCTAGAGGCTGAGGCAACAGGATCATAAGTTTGAAGCCAGCCTGGGCAACTTAGTGAGACTCTTATCTCAATATAAAAGGAGAAAATAAGTAAATAAATAAAAGGACTGGGGATGTGGGGATGTGGTGATGTGGGAGTATGGCTCAGAGGTAGAATGCTCCTGTGTTCAACCCCAAGGTGTGTGTGTGCGCGCGCGCGCGCACACACACACACACACACACACACACAATGCTATTGTTTTTAGGCTTTCCGGACACTCATATACTGTTTAGTTATATATATGTAATTCGTTTGTAAAGCAAGAAAGTCTTTGTATGGTTTATATTGTTGTTTTGCAATACTAGGGATTGAACCCAGAGACACTCTACCATTGAGAAAATCTCTATCTTCACTCACCTTTTTTTAAAAAATTTGAGAATGTTCTTGTCATGGTGCCCAGGCTGGTCTCAAACTTGTAGTCCTCCTGCCTCAGACTTCTGAGTAGCGCCATCACACCTGGCTTCTTTTGTAAAGTTTTGTCAGGAAGAAATAAAAAAAAAAATCCTAAGCCTTATATAAGCTGCAATACTGCAAGGTAGTTTTCTTGTTCCTAGGTTCTTTACTTGGGGAAAAATGCAATTTAAGATTTATTTGCCTGGTACGATAGTGCACATCTTTAATTCCAGTGACTTAGGAGGCTGGGACAGGAGGATTGCAAGTTTGAGGCCAACTTCAGCAATTTAACAGGCTGTCTCTCAAAAATAAAAAATTAAAAGTGTTGAGGATGAAGCTGAGTGGTGAAATGCCCCTGGGTTCATTCCCCTGGTACCATAAAACAAAAACAACTTTTTTATTAGATATAAACAGAGTTTTAAAGCACCCCAGAATTGGAAAGAATCAGAGCCGATTAAATCCAGATATCTCTGATGCTTTACTCTCCTCTTTATGATTCCCTCAGTTGGTCTGATAGTACCCTGAGCATCTTTAGTGAGAGGAAGCTCACTTCCTTTTGAGGTATTCCATTCTGCTTTGAGGGCAACTCTGAGTACCTGGAAGTGTTCTGTTTTGTTTTTTAAAATCTGTACATCACCCATCTGTACTAAATACTATTACCCAAAGGCAAATTTAATTTTCAGGGTAGTTCTTTAAAAATTTGTTCAAAATATGTTTCCCTGTAGTATCTGCTTTACTGAATGTTATTTATTTTACATGGAACCATCCAGATCAGGTCTTATTCCTGTGATATAAGTTGGATTTTCATATTCTTTACAATACATCTACATCTTATTACCAATATAAACATTTTTAGTTTTTTTTTAATTACATAGTTTTAAGTTGGCCTTATCATTATTTCTCTTCTGTTGTTGGCAGGTTTGGTTTTTCCTAAAGCCTCTTTCCTTGTTTTGTGGCCTTCTAGCTGTGCCTCACATGACATTTTCTCAGTGTGCTCCCATCTCTGGTGTGTCTCTTTCTTATTAAGGACACCAGTAATATTGAATCAGGAATTTACCATAATGACCTAATTTAACCTTCATTACTCCTTTAAAGACCCTAAACTCCAAATACTGTACATTGGGTGTTAGGACTTCAAAATATGAATTTTGTGGGGACAGTTCAGTCCTTGGAAAGTCTTTGTGTATTTATATATAAGTTGGAAAATTTACATATACTTTATTTATATATAATGTGATATCAGTAGCAAAACAAGTACATTGCCATTTTGTATTTTAGATTATTTGAGTGTTTGGCAAGCATTCCTTTTCTTTTAAGAAAATATTGAAGATAATAGTGCAATAAATCTTTCTAAATCTCTTGCAAACTTAACTAATAAGCATTAAAGAGCATAGGATCTGTTTCTTTCGACATTTCCATAAACCAGGGATAATTTATAATCTTTGCATATTTATAAACTGAATGATTTTAACAGCTATATTTGTTACATGGTTCATATAGTCTGTTTCAGAATAAAACTTCCAACACAAATATTTATCATGCAGTGGAATGAAATAATAAGGAAATCATCAGTATCTTATTTTAAGATTCCAGTAAATCTGGATATTTTTTTTAACCCAACATGGCACTGGAACACTGTTGTGATAGAAACTAATTTTTTCATGTCTAACTGAAATTTTTCTTTGACAAATGTGAAAGATTTAAAAAATATATGCCATAAGATTGATGTTGGCTGTGAATTGACAGCATTTCTCTGTATATTTGGAAGTCCTTTTAGACAAAATGTTATCTATAAAGTATCATCTAAAGCTAAAGAAAAGTATTTGCATTTTTTCACAAATTGAATCAGTTGATCTTTGATATTATTAGAAAGATTTTATGTTTTATGGGCAATATTTTATGCTGGCTTAATTAAAAATCTTTCATGCCGGGCATGGTGGCGCACGCCTGAGGCAGGAGGATCACGAGTTCAAAGCCAGCCTCAACAAAAGTGAGGTACTAAGCAACTCATTGGGATCTGTCTCTAAATAAAATACAAAATGGGGCTGGGGATGTAGCCCAGTGGTTGAGTGCCCCCAACTTCAATCCCTGGTATTCCCTCCCCCCAAAAAAATCTTAGGTTTTATTTGGAGGTTCTGGGGATTGAATCCAGGGCCTTGTGCATGTGAGACAAGCACTTTTATCAATTGAGCTATATCCCTAGCCCCTCTTTCACGTGTTTGAAAATATATTTCCTCATAATTAAAGAAGAAAACTTAAATAATAGTTTCTTTTGTCATTTCTTCATCTGAAAATTATTTTCTTTTGGCATAAGAATCCAAGTCGTTTTGTAACTGGCCAAAGTTAAAAAGTTTAGATCTTGGTAAAAATCACATTTTTTTGTTGATCCTTATGATTTTAAATGACTAATTTTGCTGAAAATGTTCCTTAAGATTGTTCACTTTAAGCCAAGCATGAGGATGTACGGCTCTAATCGTAGTGAGTTGGGGGCTGAGGCAAGAGGATCACAAGTTTTAAGACCAGCCTAAGCAACTTAGTGGAACCCTGTTTCAAAATAAAAAGTAAAAAGGGCTGGGAATGGGGGCTGGGGATGTGGCTCAAGCGGTAGCGCGCTCGCCTGGCATGCGTGCGGCCTGGGTTCGATCCTCAGCACCACATACAAAGATGTTGTGTCCGCCGAAAACTTAAAAAATAAATATTAAAAAATTCTCTCTCTCTCTCACTCTCTCTTTAAAAAAAAAAAAAGGGCTAGGGATGTAGCTGAGTGGTAAAGTGCTCCCAGGTTCAAGCCCCAGTACTAAAAAAAAAAAAAAAAAAGGTACAGACTATTCCATTACTACAAGGCTCCCTGTTCCATTTGAAAACTTGAATTTAAATTAATTAAAGTTTTTTTAAAAAATTAGTTCCTCAGTAATATTAGCCATATTTCAAGTGCTCAGTAGCAAATTGTGACTGGTTATTAGTGTATTGGACAGTGTAGGCCTAAACTTTAGATATAACAAAGTATTGAAGGTAATATGGTCATCTTCTAAGATTTTTATTTCTTAAGGTCTTTCTTGACAAGTCAGAACTAGATCCAAAATAGCTGCTCCCATTTATTGTTCCTCTGCCTTTTGTACTGTCTCAAAAGCCAATATTCTTAAGTATTATTTATTATTTTTCGGTTCTGGGGATTGAATTCAGGGGTACTTAATCACTGAGCCATATCCCCAGTCCTTTTTATTTTTCATTTTGAGACAGGGTCTTGCTAAGTTGCTTAGGGCCTCATTAAGTTGCTGAGGCTGGTCTCAAACTTGCAATCTTCCTGACTCAGCCTCTTGAGTTGCTAGGATTGTAGATGTACACCACCACACCTGGCAATTAATAGGATATTTTAAATATAACATTTTCAAAATGTGTTGGATAACACTACCATGAGATAATTATAGAGGAGGCATTGAAATATGTTTAGTAGACTAGATGTAACTTTAAAGTATTTGTTGATAATTTATTTAAGGTAAACAGATCCTATGCAGAGATGAAAAAGTATGTTTATTCATTAGTAAAGTGGGATTTTACTCTAGTTTTAATTTTTGAGTGCAGATCTTCTGTTTGTCATATAATTAGATCAGTAGCTTAAAAGTAGGTGATTACAATGTAGATGGCTTGTACCTTTTTAAAGAGTATAAGCAGTGATTTAGTACACAAAATTCAGTTGAGCAGTGAAAATAAAAATCATAATTGTATGTCATGTATTGTACAACATAGTTGAGATGGCATAGAGTTATCTGGACTGTTTTCTTTCCCATCATCTTAAAATGAAAGATTTGTGGAAAACTAGGCAGCTTAAGAATATTTGAGGATTGTAAATGGTTTCTCATTTAAAACCTTTTTCTTTTGAATTTAGATTTGCCTCTTGACACTGACTTAGAAATTGAAAAACCATCTACGATCATATTGGCTGAGATGCTTGGTGATGTAATCTGGGAGGATTTGTCTGAGTGTCTCATCAAAAACTGCTTGGTTTATTCTATCCCAACAAATAGCAGCAAGCTACAGCAATATGAAGAGGTAAAGAGCAGAGATATTATAGAAGGTTTTGGGACACTATTGTTTGCTGTTGGCTTTGTTTTTATTTTCAGATCTTTTATTCTTTGGTTATATCTTGAAAAAAATTATAAATACAGAGTAGAAACAAATTTTCTATAACTCAGTTTCTTTTCTGACTTCTTGCCTCTTTGAGGAAGTATGTTTTCTTATTTAAGTGTATTTTTAAAGTTTTTTTTTTTTTATACTTGTTTCACTTATAGTAGGTTTTTTTGTGACACTTGTTGGCTTGTTTTTAGTGTTTCCCTGAATTAAAAAAGGTGTATTTATTTTAAAGATTTTTACACCTTTACCAGAGTCAAATTTCTGTTGAAGATATTCTTCCTAATAGATTTAAGACTGGAAAACTATATATTTTTAAACCTGGTGACTGATGGTTTGCTTTAAGACCTAAATGACCATTTGGTTCTTATTTTTTCTGTGTGTTGGGTTTGAAATTTTAACATTGAAATGGAATATTTGTACAGTTGACTCTTTGTATCTATGGTTTCTGCATCCATGGATTCAACCAACTACAGATCGAAAATGTTTGGAAAAAATTTCGATTGCTACTGAATATGTACAAACTTTTCTTCTTGTTATTATTCCCTAAATACAGTATAGCCGTTATTTACATAGCATTTATGTTGTATTGTTGTAAGTAATCTAGAGATGACTTAAAGTATACAGGAGGATGTGTGTGGGTTATATGCAAATACTGTTCCCTTTTTATATATGGGACTTTAATGTCAACAGAATTTAGTATCTGATAAGGGTCCTGGAACCAATCTCCCACACATACTGAGGGATGACTACATATAATTCTTTTCTTTTTCTTATGCTTTCTTCTTCCAGATCATACAGTCCACTGAAGAATTTGAAAATGCCCTAAAGGAGATGAAATTTTTAAAAGGAGATTCTACTGATTTGCTGAAATATGCTCGTAATATCAATTCTCATTTTGCTAACAAAAAGTGCCAGGATGTGATTGTGGCAGCTAGAAACCTGATGACCTCTGAAATCCACAACACTGTGAAGGTACCAGGGTTGTACTACATTATATTTAGGAATCAGCTCATTTTTGAGACACTGTGGTAATGTGGAAGAGAGTAAGTATGATAGTTGCTGGGCTTATGGAGGCAAATTATTAATCTTTGGAGTGTGAGTTTTATTCTCTTTAATGTAGTCCTGATATCTACTTCTTCATCAGGAATTGTGAGGTCCAGAAAGATAATGCATTTGAAAGTGTTGTATAAACCGAAAAAGCCTACATAAATGTAATGGATTAGTTTTGTTGAAATTAGTAGATTATTATTTCAGGGTTAAGTTCACAGCTTTGTGACATATATACTTAGACTTTATTATGTTCAGAGGTTGTATTCTATTGTGAAAATGATGACTTTATCTCTTAAACTAATAGAGGGGAACTAGTTTTGAAGATAAGAAGTAAAACAGTTAAAACATTAGAATAAGCCTGGCATGTGTGAGGTACTGCGTTCAATTCTCGGCACCACATACAAATAAGTAAGTAAGTAAATAAATAAAATAAAGGCCCATTAACAACTTTTAAAAAAACGTATATATATAAAAATTAAAAATTTATATTTTTTATATAAATATTAAAAACATTAGGGTTTAAGTAATTAATTGCAAGGGCAGTGGACTAATTTATTTACAGTAAGAGTAATTTATTCCTTTGGCCTTAGATACTTCTATGCATTTTTTGTTTGTTTTTATATAAAATAATATTTGTTAAATGCAAGTTATTACTTGATTTAAGACAGACTGAGGCAATTCCTTAATAAAAGATTCTCAGCCATTTTTCTGCTGAAGGGGACTGGGTTTGTTATTAATCCCTTCTTTGCCATGCTACATTTTCTGGTACCCTGTTCTCATGTTTGTTTCAGTGAACTATTTAATTAGCCATATGAAGTCCACAGATGTTAACACATTTTCAGGTAATTTTGTTATGAGAACTGAAAACTATTCAGTGCTAGTAACTGTGCTGTGGGTTTCTTTTAAAATAAATAGTACCTGATTATGTCATTCTTACCAAAATTCAGCGGCTTTCCATCTAATTTAGAAAAAGACCCACTTACTTTCCAGTGGCCTACAAGGCCTTATGTGATCCATGTCTTCTCTGACTCCATCTCTCTTTTTTTTTTTTTTTTGGTATGGGGTATTGAACTCAGGGGCACTCCACACTGAGCCACATCCCCAGCCCCTTTTTCCAGAGACAGATTCTCACTGAGTTGCTTAGCACTTGCTTTTTGCTGAAGCTGTCTTTGAACTTGCTATCCTCCTGCTTCAGCCTCCCAAGGATTGCAGGTGTGTGCTACCACACCTGGTTAACTCCATCTGTTATGCATTTTTCTTTCACTGTTCCAGGCACTTGGATTCATAGGGATGCTTGAATGTGCCAGGTCTCTACTTGGTGGCAGAATTTTTGAATTTCCTGTTCCCTCTGCTTGTAACATTTTTATTGGAGATACCCACATGACTTTTCTATTTTTTTGGGGGGGGATAGCGGGGGTACCAGAGATTGAACTCAGGGGCACTCAACCTCTGAACCACATCCCCAGCTCTATTTTGTATTTTATTTAGAGACAGAGTCTCATGGTGTGGCATAGCGCCTACTGTTGCGGAGGCTGGCTTTGACTCTTGATCCTCCTGCTTCAGCCTCCTGAGCTGCTGGGATTACAGGAGTGTACCATCATGCCTGTCATGACTTTTCTATTAAAGTCCTTCCTGACCCCACTATTTTTTTTGAGGGGGAGCTACTGAGTATTAAACCCCAGGGCCTTGTGCATAATAGACAAGTGCTGTACCACTGAGCTTTATCCCCAGCCCTTTTTGAGATAGGGTCTCACTAAGTTGCCCAGAGATTCTTGAAGTTGTGATCTTCCTACCTAATCCTGAGTAGTTGGGATTGTAGACATGGACATGCATTAGCACACCCAGCTCTAACTCGTTTTTTAATAATTATCACTGCCACCTATTTCCTAAGCCCTTTTCTTGCTTTGTTTTTCTTCATGTTACATTACAGCCAGTATTTTGTATATTTATTATTTGTCCCTTTCTAAGAAGTATGTTTCATGAGAGACTTTTTTTGTTTGTTTGTTTGTTTACTGCCATTATCTCCAGTGAAAGTTCCCGGCACATACCTCTGTGTACTAACTGCTAATCTATTCACTCAATATTTGTTAAGTGAATTAGTATATCTCAGTAACCTATACAGCTTCTTGATGTAAGCAGTATTATTAATGAATTGCTCATTACTCTGTGACTCTAGTTTTGATGAACTTTTTTTTTTTTTTTTTTTTGAGATACTAGAGATTAAATCCAGGGGTACTCTACCACTGAGCTGCATTCCAACTCTTTTTATTTATTTATTTAAAAAAATTTGAAATACGGTATTAACTCAGTTGCCCAGGCTGACCTCAATCTTGTGATTCTCCTGCCTCAGCCTATGAATAACCTGGATTGTAGGTGTACCCCACCATGCCTGTCCTGGGCTTGATCTTTTAATCCTTTTGAACTTCTTTTTCCTCTTGTGTAATGTAATATAATTGAACTAGATAATCTCTGAGCCCCCTATTCAGTTTTTTTCTGCCATTCTAGGAAATTACATTTTCCCTTTGTACCTATGTACTAATATGTAGCTTCCTTTAGGCCAGGGCTGTCTAGTGAGATGTTTAGCAGCATTCCTGAATTATGTCTTCAATTGATTGGATGCTGGTATCTCAAGATGTTGCCAAAATTGTCCCTGGTTAACAACTACTGCTCCAGAATTCTGTCCTGGTTCTTGCTCTTGGCATTTAGACCCTGGAATGAAATCTAAATTTTCCAACTTTGAATTTTCTTTTTTTTGGTGATGCTGGGGATTGAACCTAGGGCCTTGTGCATGCGAGGCAAGCCTTCTACCAACTGAGCTATAAATTTTCCAACTTTGAAAAGCTCTTTTTGGCTTTTCTAAAATAATTTCAGTTTACTTTTCATAGTCTTATATATAAGTTCTAAAATAGTCCCCTAAATATTCTCATTTTCCCAAAAGAAAAAAAATAGTCTTTAACTTCTTAGAAAGGGACAGATAGTAAATATACAAAATGCTGGTTGTTATATAACATGAAGAAAAACAAAGCAAGAAAAGGGCATAGGAAATAGGTGGCAGTGATAATTAGTAATATTCAAAAAATTAATAATTTGTTACCAAGAAGATTCTTCATTATAAACATAGCAAAATGATTTCAAGATATGCATGACTAGCAGGCAAACAGTATAATTTTTTTTAAGTGACAGCTTTCTTAATCAAAAGATCATAATCACTTCTAGCCATTCCAGGGGAGTATTATGATGCCATTGCTTTCAACAGTTACCTGGGAAGGGAGCTTGGAGTTCATAATTAGTTTGAGATGACTGCTCCTAAAGAGGTCTTAAAAAAACTTCAAATTCTTCACTCAAAAGGATCAGTGTTTGAATTCCTAGGTTAAGAAATCAGTATCTTGCCAGGTGTGGTCGTGTACACCTATAATCTCAGTGATTTGGGAGTCTGAATCAGGAGGATCTTGAGTTCAAAGCCAGCCTCAGTAAAAGTGAGACACTAAGCAACTCAGTAAGCCTCTGTCTCTAAATAAAATACCAAAAGAAAAAAGAAAAAAAGGGGCTGGGGATATGACTCAGTGGTTGAATGGCTCTGAGATCAATCCCTTGTACCCCCCACTCCCAGAAGACTTAAAATCCCAAAGAACTAACTAGCTGGAAGCCACAAATCCTGTAAGATATCCGGGCATAAATGAATTAATGAGCTCTGCCACTAGGATAGCATTACAGAAGATGAAGAAATTATTCAAAAGTAACTGTTGAACATTAACTTCATAATAAACATAGCTCATATGGCTAAATACTAGATTGTTTTCCCCAAAAGATAACATTTATTTATAACTCTAATGCTGACAGAGTAGCTTTTTGATGTAAAAATGATTTAGGTTTGTAAGTCATAGATTTTGCTTCCTATGAAAATAATATTAAACAAAATATAAACTAAATATCATCCAAGAAGCAATGAAATCTCACTTTGCTAAAGCCTGTACTAATTAAGGCTTTGCCTTGGTATGTAACAACTTTGAAATTATATGGGAATATTCCCAGTGAATCATTTGCATACAATAATTCAGGCAGTTAAAGAATCAGTATTAGGACCCAGTTCACATACGTAAATATTATTATCCTAACATTCAACTTAATACACTTTGTTGCTATAAGAAGGGTATTAAGTACCACTGTTGAGTCTAAATCAGTAAGGGGCAGAGTAGTATTGCATTTGGCTGTCTAATGAAGAAGCTCAATAATTTCAATTTGGCCTTTCTAACCAGAAGATGCAAACAAAAGTTTTACTACTTTTCTTTGCTTTTGTGGCTTTATACTGTTTGGTTTTTTGAATAAGCTGGATATACTTTCTGATAAATACTATCACTGAATAAATGATTCAAACATTGAGATTCTTACAAAATTGGCACAGTGTTCCTATTAGTTCATGTATCAATTAGTACATCTTTACAACCTTAGGGAAAATATGAAAGACAAGGACTAATTTTGGCCTGTCATGAAAAGCACAATATTCATAAAACAGTATATTCATTTTTTTTTTTTTTTTTTTTTTTTTTTTGAGGCAGCGGTGGTACTGGGGATCTAACTCAGGGGCACTCCACCACTGAGCCACATCCCCAGCCCTATGTTTTGTATTTTATTTAGAGACAGGGTCTTACTGAGTTGTTTATTAGCACCTCGCTTTTGCTGAGGCTAGCTTTGAACTCATGATCCTCTTGTTTCAGCCTCCCGAGCTGCTAGGATTATGGCCATGCACCACCACGCCTGGCCCAGTACAATTCATTTTTGAAGATGTTTTTATATTTTGACCTTAGAGAACCGTATTAGCTCTTACATTATTCCATCTTTGAGTCCTTTGCCCTTTTTGTGAAGTGACTTTTTTTTGGCATTGTGGATTGGGTCTCTGAGCGGTTAACCACTGAGCCACATCCCCAGCCTTTTTTTTTTGTATCTTATTTAGAGACAGGGTCTCCCTAAGTTGCTTAGGGCCTTGCTAAATTGCTGAGTCTGGCTTTGAAATTGTGATCCTCCTTTACCACACCCAGTATATTCTCATTTAAGCTTGATAATAGCCCTCAGAAGTGGAAATTATTATATCATTTTGTGGATTTGGAAGTCAGGTTTGCTGACTTAAACATTTTTATTAAACTTGGATTGTTTTCTATCAGAAAATTTCCTGGGCTGGGATTGTGGCTCAGTGGCAGAGCCCTTGCCTTGCAAGTATGAGGCACTGGGTTTGATCCTCAGCACCACACTCAAAATAAATAAATTAAATAAAAGTATTGTGTCCATCTATAACTAAAAAAAAATAAAAAAAAAAAAAAAGAAGAAAAAAGAAAATTTCCCAACAGGTCCAGTATGTGCAGAGCAGAGCTGCTTCCTGTTCCTACAGTGGAACTGGGAAACTTCCTACCTCTACCTACTTAATATCTTTCTTTCTCTCTACCTCTTTTTTTTTTTTGGGGTTCCTGAGGCATCTTTGAGAAGCAAGGTTTGAAAGCCATTATTAGTATATTTTGTGAGAAAATTGAAAAAAAAAACATTAAATGACTTTGCAGAAAGTTAGATTAAAAACTGTCACCGTCTCAAACTAGGCACAGTGGTGAATATCTGTAATCCCAGTGACTCAGAAGGCTGAGGCAGGAGGATTGTAAGTTTAAGGCCAACATCAGCAACTTTTCAAGGCCTAAATCACCTTAGTGAGACCCTGCTTCAAAACAAAAAATAAAAAGGGTTGGGGTGTAACTCAACTGGTAAAGCACCTCTGTATTCAACCCTAGTACCAAAACAAAAACAAGATATCACTGTCTCCAGACTTTCAACCTCAGTTGCTTTTCATCAGTTTAGTCCCAACCAAGTCTAGTAATCCTCATTCCATGTAAATGTTAAGGAGGCTTCTTCAGTTTTGATTTTGAGTTTTGTTTTTTAGGGGTAGAATACAGTAATCTGAATTAGTTTTTCCTTAAATTAACATATGTGCTCATAATGTAGTTAATGGAACACAGAATTATACTGGTCTTAATAATCAATAGTCTAGTCTGAAAGATGATTTTTTATTTTTTATGGTGCTTGGGGAACGAACCCCAGAGCCTTGTGCATGCAAGGCAAGCACTCTACCAACTGAGCTATATCCCCAGCTTGAAAGATGATTTTTGAAGGTTTTTTTTTTTCTTCTCTTCCTTTCCCCTTCTTTCTCTTCTTTCTTCTTGCACTGGGGATTGAACCCTGGTATACTCTACCACCAAGCTACATCCCTAGCCCCTTTTTGAAATTTTTTGAGACAAAAATCTCACTAAGTTGCCAGTGCTGTCCTCAGTCTTGTCATCTTCTTGCCTCAGCCTCCTGAGTCACTGGGATTATACCATGCATGACTGCATCTATTTTTATTTTAATTAATTAATTAAAAAATTTTGTCCTTTTGAGACAGAATCTATGTTGCCCAGGCTGATCTTGAACTTCTGGGTTTAAGTGATCCTTCTGCCTCAGCCTTCTGAGTAGTTGAGACTACAGGTCCATGCCACTATACTCAACTTTGTAGACCTGTAGACATGAAGTCTTGAGCCAGTTGCACAGTTGCACAGTTTTACTTTTCCATAAAGAATTTTGTAGTTAGAGAGATTGCTTATTTCTTTCTTTTTTTTTTTAAAAAAAAAAGAGAGAGAGAGAGAGAATTTTAATATTTATTTTTTAGTTTTCGGTGGATACAACATCTTTGTATGTGGTGCTGAGGATCGAACCCAGGCCGCACGCATGCCAGGCGAGCGCGCTACCGCTTGAGCGACCCCCCCAGCCCCGGGATTGCTTATTCTTACCACATGCTGTCACGCAAGATTGAGCAGTTGTTAAAATAATGCCTTATCTACTGATATGTTTTAGTTATTCCTTAGAACCACAGCTTTATCTTCATGGAAGTTACCATTGTCTTATTCTTTGCTTTGTGCTTGCATTTGAATTATTCTGAAAACATGCATTTTTTATATTTCTGTTTTAATCTTAGATTACTCCTGATTCTAAGATAAGTGTGCCAGACTTACCAAGTCCTGATGAGGGTAACAAGCTTTTAGTACAAAAAGTATCCAAAACTGAGTACAATGAAGCAGTGAATTTAGAACCTGAAAATACATTGGATCAACATTCCTTTTCTTTGCCTACATGTCGAATCAGTGAATCTGTGAAGAAGTTAATGGAACTTGCTTATCAGACTTTATTAGAGGCAACAACCAGTAGTGACCAATGGTATGAATTCCAAGTTGTCTGAAAATAGCATTGCTTTGGTTAATGCTTATCTGAGTAGACATTTATTAAGAATATTAGCTGGTATTCTTTGGGGTTTTTAAATTATTTATTTATTTTTTTCTAAAAAGATGCAGTGTAGCACATAGATATATATTAGCCTCTAACTTTTATTTATAGTAATATAGATGTTAGAACAAGGTATAAAAATAGATGCGCGTATGTAGATGGACATATAAGTTTATCTCACACTGAAAATTGTTAATCACTTAATAAAACACTATAATATTTAATTTTTACTTTTTATGATGAAAATGAAATAATTTTACATGAGAAAGTACATGTGAAGAACCTAGAATATTACCTAGAAATGAATAGTACTCAAATGTTGAATATTACAGGTGGTGGAGGTAATAGTATTAGTTGTACCATATGTTCCAGCTTTCTTTCTTTAGTTTTTTACCTTTTGAAATTTAGGTCCTAATCAAATTTACATTTAAAATGTTTATTTTTAAAGCACTAATAATTTGTTAGTTGGTCAAAGTAAAAGAAAAAGAATGTACACACCTCAAATCTGGCTTCACCTTCCAAGGTATCCTCTAATGTACATTGTATTGAAGGTACCTTAGACTCGACTCTACACTTCGTACTGATCTTTTTATTTAATAAGCTCTTTGTTCTAGAATCCACTGAGACAAAAATAGGGAATAGGCAAAGTGGATTGTAGAGCAGGTTTACAAAAGGCTAAAGCCTGTTTAGTTTGAATCTGTACTTAGCATTTTTTTTTTGAATTTTTGTCCTCATAGTAAAAAACAATAATATAATCATATCATATTTTCTGATCTGTAGTTTATAATCTCTGTATGAAAACATACTCCTTTATTTTATTTTGCTCTAGAAAGAACATGTTTACCAAGGTACTTCCATGGCTTTAATGAATCCTACTCATGAGTCCTTTTAATTTTAATTACATGTAGGAAGTAAAAATGCATGCTTGCTTATAAAGGAAGTATATACTCTTTTGGCAAAATAAACACAGGAGAGGGCTGGGGTTGTGGCTTAGGGGTAGAGTGCTTGTCTAATATGTGTGAGGCCCTGGGTTCTATCCTCAGCATCACATAAAAATAAAATAAAGGTATTGTGTCCAACTACAACTAAAAATAAAATATTTAAAAAATAAATAAATAAGTTCAGGAGTAACTATTTCTTCATGACTTTCTCCTGAAATATATCAGGCCAGAAAGTAGAGATACAGGGCAATATTTTTAAAAATTTTTGAGAAAGCAGATAGAAAACACTATTTTTGTATTCTGAATGTTTATAGACATTCATTCCACTAAAAGAAATGGTTTTTAATAGGACAAACAAAAAAACACAGGGACTGCAAATTAGTCTGACTATTTTGGAAATCAGTATGGAGATTCCTTTAAAAACTAGGAATTAGGGCTGGGGATGTGGCTGAAGTGGTAGCGTGCTTGCCTGGCATGCGCGGGGCGCTGGGTTCGATCCTCAGCACCACATAAAGATAAAATAAAGATGTTGTGTCCAGCGAAAACTAAAAAATAAATATTAAAAAATTAAAAAAAAAAAACTAGGAATGAAACTACCGTATGACCCAGCTATCCCACGCCTTCCTTAGTATTTATCCAAAACAATGATTCATTCATACCAGTGTTTATAATACTTGAGTTATGGAACCAGCCTATGTGTCCATCAGTAGATGAATGGATAAGGATATATATATTCTTATATATATATGGTTTATATACACAGTGGAATTGTATCCAGCCATAAAGAAGAGTGAAATTGTGTCATTTGCTGATAAATGGATGGAAGTGGAAAATATCATGCTAAGTGAAATAAGCCAGACTTGGAAAGTCAAGGGTCAATATTTTTTCTCAAAAGTGGAAGCTAGAGAAAAGGAATAAAAAAGAGGTCTTATGAAAATAAAGGGAAACCACTGAACAGAATAGTAGAAGGGGAGTGGAGATGGAGTAAGAAAGGGAGGACACGGGGAAGTAACTGGGAGAGGAAATTGATCATATTATGCTATGTTCATGTACGAATATACCACAGTGAATCCCATTTATATATATAATTATTATGCACTAATTAAAATAACAGTAATAGAAGGGACATCAGTAGAATAGAGCAAGCAGATGGGGAAGAAAGAATGGAGAGAAAGAGAAGGTACTGGGGAATGAAATTGATCAAATTATCTCTTATTTATTGATTGAATTATCTATTATTGATATAAATTATGCATATAGGAATGTGGTATAATGAATTTCACTACTATGTATAATTGTGCCAATAAAACAAAAACCACCTACTGTACAATACCTTTCTTTCTACATTGTCAAACCTCAGATGATATATATAGCAAAAATGAATGAATTTAGCCAGTTATCATGATAATTGGTAGTGAAGGTGTTTTGGAGTATAGCAACCATGACCTGTTTTCCTAAATATTTGTGGAATTCCTTTGTGTTATTCAAGGTATATAGGTTAAAACACTCTTGTATAGAGAGAAGTGTTACAAGTTTTATATTTGCTCTTTTAAAATGCATTTTAATATTTTGAGGTGTTTTAAAGACCAAATTTAAAGGGCAAAAAGTCTTGAGGGCTAGATTCTATCCCTAGAAAATGTTGATTTATCTCTCTGCATTGGGAAAGAAAGAGAAAAAAGTGAAAGCTGAAAGTCAGGCTGATTCTAAAAGAACCAAGTGAGTGCCTTTATTGATACCTTGCCCTTTGCAGTGTGTATCAGTGAGTAGGTGACATTTGCCTGAGGCTTAGCTCCATTTGTAACTAAAAGGATACTCTGGGTACTTGCAGAACACAAAATGATAAATGGAAAAGAGGCTTTGGGTTGAATGCTACTGTTCTAAAGACTATTAATATATCCAAGTTTTTAGAATTCCAATTTAGTTAGTAAATACTGGTTGAGAATATATTTCCATCTAGATGAGTGGTGTTTTCCAGCAATGATCAAGGCAGATTTTCCCTGCAACTGTACTTTTAATTGATGACCTTCACTAGAAGTGTACTTAGTTTGAAATTTTTTTCTCATTTATAGTATATCCTTATGTATATCTCTTAAATTTTAATTTTCCTTTTAGTGCTGTCCAACTTTTCTACTCAGTGAGGAATATCTTTCATTTGTTCCATGATGTTGTACCAACATATCATAAGTAAGTACTACTTTATCTCAGTTCTGTATAATAGTTGTATGTCTAAAATATTTATTTATTTAAAACTACTATTTTAATATTTTCACCAAAGATATTTTGGTTACTGAAATTCACAATAAAATGCAGTGAACCATTTTAAAGGACTTAGATATTTACTATTAATAAGGGTACAGAATCTTACAGTAAATAATGCAAATTTAAAAACTCAAAAGAGCCTTGCCTGTTTTAATGCCTACACATTTTAAGAATTGCCTTACTTATCTTGGTTGAGAAACAGAAAGATGCTGGATGTGGTAGCACATGCCTGTACTCTCACTTGGGAGGAGGAGGCAAGAGGATCACAAATTTGAAGCCAACCTCAGCAGCTTAGCAAGACCCTAAGCAACTTAGTGAGACCTTGTCTCAGAATAAAAAATAGAAAGGGCTAGGGATGTGGCTCAGGATGGGTTCAATTCTCAGTGCCAGGAAAACCCAGAAAGGTCAATATTTCACAGTGCTATCCAGTAAACATACTACATTTTCCCTTGGCATTCATAGTTTTGCAGACATAAGATACAAGAGAATTTTGTTTTCAATATTTTTTAGGTGTAGTTGGACACAATACCTTTATTTAATTTACTTATTTTTATGTGGTGCTGAGGATCAAACCCAAGGCCTCGACATGCTAGGTGAGCGCTCTACCACCAAGCCACAACCCCAGTCCCAAGGGAATGCTTTTTAATTGTGTAGTATGATTTGCCACTCTCTCTAGCATCTTAGGCTGTATTTATTCACTTAATGTCTTGGGCTTTAAAGGTTTCTTTTATGTTCTGAAAGGTCACTCAATTGTAAGCCTTCAGAAGTTCTGTTATTTAAATGAAATAGTTTGAATGTTTTTCATAAATGTTTTTAATAATGTCAAGAAAGGTATTTCATAGCCAAGGACTCTGCTTTCGCCTCCCTCCCCTTATTATTTGAAATTTTTTTTTAAAGCATTCCTTTTTTTTTTTTTTTTTAAAGAATGAACTCTGGGTCACTCCACCACTGAGCTTTTTTTTATATACCCAGCCCTATTTTGTATTTTATTTAGAGACAGAGTCTCACTGAGTTGCTTAGCACTTCACCGCTGCTCAGGTTGGCTGTGAACTCATGATCTTCCTGCCTCAGCCTCCCAAGCTCTGGGATTGTAGGTGTGTGCTACCGCGCCTGGCTTAACTTTATTTCCCATGTGACCCTAATCTCTTGGTGGCTTTAAAAACTTGTGAATTAGAAAATATTAAATGCTTCATTACCTGAATGAAATAGGAATTTGGAGAAAGGAGAAGTAAACCTGTGGTTACATTTACCAGAATTAAATTTTAAGAGCAGTATGCATACCTTTGCTAGGTTTCCAGTACAAAGAGTTAACTCAGGTAAACTTTTGATCCCCTCAGTTTTTCTTGTTTGTTAATCACTGGGATAGTTTTATAGGATAAGGTCACACAGGCAGAACAACCTAACTCAGAATGTGAGTGGGAATGATGAGATTGTATCTTGTTATGTTCAGCATCTACAAAATAGATAATTATTAAAGCATAGAGACATGACAGCTTTAGAGGAGTAGTGACTTGTCATCAACCTTGACTTTAATAATACATGGTTTGTTTTCTACCCTTCCTCATTGCCTAGGGAGAACCTTCAAAAACTTCCCCAGTTGGCTGCTATTCACCATAATAACTGTATGTATATTGCTCACCACTTGCTGACCCTGGGGCATCAGTTCAGATTACGCCTTGCCTCCATTCTTTGTGATGGCACTACTACTTTTGTGGATCTTGTACCTGGCTTCAGAAGACTGGGTAACTGATACCTTAAATTTGGATTATGCAGCTTCTCAGCCTAGTATCTTTGTAATTTATAAATGAGGGGGTTAGAAATTAGGTGGTGTTCCTGCACTGTTTTTGAAAGCGGGAGGGCATTTAATTTGTATATGTTTCTGGTTATTTAATTTTATAAATGAATGCAGTCTTTATGGAAGCATTACTTTTTTTAAAATTTGGGTATCATAGTTGTACATATGGATGAGATTTGTTGTTACTTATTCGTACATGCACACAATACATAATGTAATTTGGCCAATACTTCTCAGGACTTCCTCCCTCCTCTCCTCCCTCCCCTCCTCTCTTCTCTCCTCTCCTCTTTTCCCTCCTCTCTCCCCTCCTCCCTCCCCTTAGGCCCTTTCCTCTACTGATTTCCTTTTGATTTTCTAGAAGCATTATTTTTTTAAGACATGGTTTATGATTTCCTGGTACATTAGAGTTCCAGACTTCATTGCTGATGTGCATTGAATTCACCAAATCATTTATGTTGAAATGACACAATAAGATTTATACTATGATAGTTGTTGGTAATAGCTCACTAATGCCAGTGCTTTTTTTTTTTGCAAAACCAAAGACAGCTCTCCCTTGCCTCCCTCCCCTTACATCTTCCTCAGTTTTACTTGCGATTGTCAAAAGAAATGAAATGTGGGTTAAATTGATATGTTTTCTATAATGATAGGCCGAGAAAAGCAGAGAATCTATATGATTCACTTAGCTTTTCACTTCTTGACTTTTTCCTTCTGTGGTATAGATATATCACAATAATAAGTAGCTTTTTCCATGTAAGTAATATTTTTTAGCTGACTCAGACTCTAGGCAAACTATTGAGAAGGATTTATCTATTTTCCTAAGAGTGGGTTTGGCTAACTGTGTTAGTGATTTTTTTTCTAGTATTATTAGGACAGTTTTGTGATGTTACCTAGAATTGTTTTCATGTGGATAGAACAGATATATGGTTTATGCTTGTCTCTCCTTTTCTACTGGTTTTCTACAGTGTGTAAAAATATATCTTTTAGAATTCTGTGTTTTGGTTTCCTATCATAGGGACAGAGTGCTTTTTGGCCCAAATGCGGGCACAGAAAGGTGAACTTCTGGAAAGATTGTCAAGTGCTAGGAACTTTTCAAACATGGATGATGAAGAGAATTATTCTGCAGCAAGTAAAGCAATCCGGCAGGTGGGAGGCTCTTGCTAGCGCTGAAATTTGTGCTCTACCCTTAGATACCTTTTTAAGCATCAGAGTACCTAACAAGTAGCTTTCTTGATTTCCTATAACCTCCACTAGATAATCTAGATAACTTTCACAGTTATGTTTAAAAATATTCTTTTGCCCTACTGAGACAACAGGAAGCTAATCTCTCCATTGACACACTAAGTTGACAATTAAGTAAGTCTGTAGTTGACTCATGAACTTGTACTGGAGAAGTTTGAAATATAGGCTTTTATCCATGCTCCTCTCTTAAGTGCTTTATCTTTTTACTGCAGTTTCCCAGTACGTTTTAGCTACCAGGGATATTATTAAGGTTAAATATTCAAGAAGCAGATATGATTACCTCACCTTTGCATATACCTCTTTCCCCAGAAACACATTAATGATAAATGTAAATCTGGAAAATGTGAGTTGCAACTATCTCTCTCCTATGTAAATAGCTCTATTCTTCTGACAGGTACTGCACCAACTAAAGAGACTTGGAACTGTGTGGCAAGATATCCTGCCAGTGAATATATATTGCAAGGCTATGGGGACTTTACTAAATACGGCAATTTCTGAGATCATTAGCAGAATCACTGCCCTTGAGGTAAGGACCATTATATGCCTCCCCAGATATAAATTGAGATGCAGTGCTATTGTGACTATTAAATTGTGACTATTAAAAAAGTGATGTTGAAATCTCATTTTTAATCAACACTATGGTGGAAAAAATTGTTCATGTTTCATATGTGACTCATGCTGTTATTTTTTTTCAGTTTTGTCTTAATTATGTTTTGCTGGAGACTTGGTAATCTCTTTTATACCTAGTCAAGAAACTAAGATTGTACTGCTTCTCAAGTCTAGCATCTGCAAATTATGAGTGAGGAAATAAGAAACTGGGCAGTAGTCCCAAGATGTATTGTATGGCATTTGCAAGTTAATACCTTCATTTAGTAAAGTGAATAAAGTCTTAGGCAGATAGCACTTTTTTTGGAAAATGTTGCAGTTGGGATTTTATGTATGATCCTACAAGGAAAATTGCCTGGACTTGGCCAGCTGAAGCCTCTAAAGCATAGACTCACAACATCCTCATTTGTAATAAATCCCCTGCTTTGCAAGATGCTATACCACTTTTTCCTAGAGAAATGAACTCTTTCATGTAGGCAAACTAAATTACTGACAATCTGTTGAAACATGTTTTTTGTCATTCTGATTACATGAATATTTTCAGAGAGTTGAAGGAATCTAGTATCTAGTAAGGTGTATTAAATGGGGTAGAAAGCACATTGCTATAGGTGACCCACCTGAACAGCCTGTAATGAAGATCGCTCTGCCCTTTCCCTACTACTGAATTGTTCAAATTCTGTTATGTTCCCTTTGTGCAAAACTAGGACATCTCTACTGAAGATGGTGATAAATTGTATTCCTTATGCAAAACAGTGATAGATGAAGGACCCCAAGTATTTGCACCTCTGTCTGAAGAAAGCAAGAACAAGAAATATCAAGAAGAGGTTCCCATCTATGTGTCAAAATGGATGCCTTTCAAAGAACTGATGATGATGCTACAAGCTAGCTTGCAAGAAATTGGAGATCGGTGCGTGTAACCCTTCTATAGAGGCGTGTATATCTTCACAGCCACAAAAGAATAATAGTGCCACCAGTAATAGCAGTGCTTTTCTTTGTATCTTATTATTATTCAGGGAAAAGTTTCAGTAGTTGAGGCCTTTTTATGGGCTCTCATCATGTAGATCTCATTACTACTTTCTCATATTTGATAAAATATAAACACTTCTCATTTATATTATTTGGATCATGAACGTGGTTTTGGCATGCAATACAAATGATCTGGTATTTATAATAAGTACAACTTTTTTATACCTGAATGGAATATTTTTGGGGGGGTACTGGGAATTGAACCCAGGGTACTTAACCACTGGGCCACATTCCTAGCTCTTTTTAATATTTTAATTAGAGACAGAGTCTTGCTGAGTTGCTTAAGGCCTCACCAAGTTGCTGAAGCTCGCTTTGAATTTGGGATTCTTCTGCCTCAGCCTCCTGAGCTTCTGGGATTATAGGCATGTGCCACTCCGTTGGGCTCCTGAACGGAAATTTTCATTCACTTTGATCAACAGTGGATATAATGATTTTTGGTATATGAATAGAGAAATTACTTTTATGTCTTTAATATTCAGCATCAGGGCTGGGGTTGTGGCTCAGTGGCAGAGCGCTTGCCTCACACATGTGAGTCACTGGGTTTGATCCTCAGCACTACATAAAAATAAATAAACAAAATAAAGAATATTGTGTCCATGTGTAACTAAAGAAATATGCAGCATCAAACCACTTTTTGATTCACCAGTTGTTTTTCTGCAGGGGGTAAATAGTTTTAGAGATTAAGTGCTATATGCTGGAATGGATTCTTTTCTTAAATATAGTGAATGATGTTTTTGCCCAACACTATTGATTAATGTGGCTATGCCCCATAAATGTATGTTACATCATATCATAATGTACAGAGGGCATGATACTTACAGAATATGTTGTTTTCTTTGTGCAGAACTAGGACATCTCTACTTAAAATGGTGATAAACTGTATTTCTTATGCAAAATAGTGATAGATGAAGGACCCCAAGTATTTGCACTTGGTGACTTAGTTACACATGCATTAATGGTTTTGTGTTGATGGTAGTGATTCATGAATAAGTATACCTTGCATAAAGAATTCCGTTAGAGGACATAAGGTTATCCATCTCCAACTCTGTAGTCACTTGTCTGTCTACTTTAGCTTAATTTACTGCAGATATCCAGATATATTAGACCAGTTATCCTAGATGAGTCTGAGTAGTTTGCAGCACATATTGTCCATTCTAAAATAACATAAATGAGATTTCTACTAGGAAAAAAAAATCACATCAGGATACTTTTAATTACGTTTATTACAAAGTTTTAATTTGTTTATTTATAAACCCTTAATGGGTAAGAAAAATGTCTTTAGGCAGTATGCTCCAGAGAGCAGTGGAATTTTTCTTTTTGCTGCTTTTAAATGGCTTTCTTGCAGCCTGAGAATAATCATTAGTTCCTTATTAATGCGAAAAACTATAGTACTGGTACATCTCAACTTCTTTTTTCTGTTTAGGAAGATTTTTTTTTTTTTTTCCTTCCTAGAGAGTTCAGTAAATGTAAGGCTAGTAACTAATTGGAACTTTTTTTACCAACACACTCACACACACACAAAACCCACCTTTAGTTCATGTATAATTTAAACATTTTAATTGTAAAATATACATATGAAGTAATATAGCATGGATAATTATTTTCACAGTTTAAATAAAAAGAATAAATATTAATATGTTTATTACATAACTAAAGAAAAATATAAATGGTATCTTTGAAAACCCCTATGTGTCCTTCTCCAAATGCTTTTCATTAAGAGGTAACTGCTCACTTAAATTTTATATAATTCCCTTGCCTTTCTTTATAGTTTTACATTTACACATAGTCTTAACAATAAAAAAGATTAGACTTGTCAGCTTTTGAACTTTATATAAGTGGAATCCTTTTTAACTTACTCCTTTTGTTCAATATCATATCTTTGAAATATATTCATAATGGCATATATAGCTACACTTTATTTTTATTGCTGCATCATATATCCTGTGGTATACATATTTCATAGTTATATATCCTGTTTCTTCACATTTCCCCAGTGTTTGGAATTAGCAGATTTGATAATCAAGTGTAAAATAATAGCTCATTGTCATTTTAATTTTTCTAAATACTAATGAGATTAAGCATCTTTTTCTTGGTAATTTATATCTCTTGTATTGTAAAATGCTTCTTCATATTTTTTGTCCTTTATTCTATTATGTTGTTTTTTCATTATTGATTCATGGGAATTCTTTTTATATTTTTAATACCAATATTTTTTTATTTGAAACAGGTTTTCTCTGTTGTTCACTTTAAGTAGTTAGAGTCCAAGGCTTGAGAGAATATGGTGGTTATAATTATCAAGTTCAGAGGAGGCTTAGTGAGTAAAAGAGCTAATAGTCATGTCTTTATCTCTTGGTTTCTTTATCCAGCTGTACTGCTAACAGATGCAGCCAATGAGCAGAACATCTAAGGTACTGATGGGTAAATCTGTAAAGAAGAGAAAGATACCTAGAATTTATTTTATTTCCATGTAAAACGAAATATTTGGATGAAATAAAATTTAAAATCATTACACTTCAAAGACAAAATTCTTTCTTTTTTGCAGGTGGGCAGATGGAAAAGGGCCGCTGGCAACTGCATTCTCTTCCAGTGAAGTAAAAGCTTTAATTCGTGCCTTGTTCCAGAACACAGAAAGAAGAGCCGCTGCCCTTGCTAAGATTAAGTAGCTCCATCTTCCTGAGAAAGCCATAACTTGACTATGTGGATTCCTTCTTTGGTGTAGTTACTCCACAAGACTTCGTGGAATCACCCTAGGGTTTTGGTGAACCAGAATTTCATGGAAGCTTGACTTTATATAAGGATGTCTTACCTCTTGGCCTGTATGAGACTTTGTTGAAAAACTGGATATTAAGATGTCAAGTGAAGCAACTCAATTCATTGACTTTCTAGGCATTCTCCTTTGATAAATAAGAAACAGTGGGGCAGTATTTATGCTGATTCCAGGACTCTCTGGGAACTGTATACATTGTAATTTTAGGCCCTGATTCTGGAAAAAGGAATCCAAGAGAATCCAAGACGTAGAATGAAGAATTTATGGGAGATTTTTTTTGTCTGTGGGGGATGGATAGGGATACCATATTTGGTTTTGCAGGAATTGGGAGACCTCCTATAATATTTCTTTCTAGTAAATAATATCTTTCAGAGTTAAAGGGTGAGTGTCTTTGATAACAAGGGGGCTTTGACAAAAGAGACAAAGGTTTCTTCTGTACTTTTAAAAAATTGACGTATATGACCCTCACAGATGTACTGACTTGTCATTTCCTTTCTTTGTAATACTATCTGACACTTTTTCAGAATTCCTAAGTCCCTTAGGACTTTAAGTTTTGGAAAGTTTTGCTGTTTCAACTGACTTTTATTTTCTTATTAGGTCCTCCATCAGCCTCATTCTGACACTCTACTGTTTCTGTACCTTAGCAAATGTCAAAGGTTTTACATTGCCCATGTTCCTTTGGAATGTGCATGCTGTGAGATGCCCATGCTGGGCTTTATAGCCTAAACCTTTATTTGGTGGACATAGCTGATTTGTCAGCTCAATTTTTGTTTTAAGTCTTTGTTCCCATTGTCAATATGTATTATGTTTAAGGTATTATCCCGGATCTCTCTAGGACACTGGATTATATCTCGTGGTACTAAATAATAGTTTCCCCTCCTGAAATAGGGGTGTGATCTTTACATGTTTTTGAGGCAGCTTCTGTCTGAAGGACATTCCCAATATAATTGGCCTGATTTCTTCGTCCTCAGTCTTCTAATCTCCTTTCCCAAAAACATATATTATTTTTCCTTTTGCCTTCTCCTTCTTGTACTTAGTTCTGATTCAGCCAAGATCTTTAATCAAGTCATTCTGGTTGCTTGGTCTTTCTTTTCCCATTTAAGTATCATAGAAGAACTAAACAAAGAAGTCTAGATTTCTTATGATAGAACTCAGCTGGGTTAAAAACAAGCTATTTGTCTATACTCTGCAGGTCCTACTCTGAGCACTCACAGACAAAAAATGGTCTGAACCAGCTTCAGTTTTTTGAGAACAAAGAAGTGGGCTTTCTTAAGAGAGGAAGAAGGGGCTATTTTAAACGAAAATGTCTGTTTTTGAAAATTCACACAATTTCAGGTAGCATTCTCTTCTCCACATTTTTGGGAGTGGTGAACTAAGGGCAGAACTGAAATAAATGTATCACAAAGATGTTACACAAAACAACAGATTTCTTTTGTTCATAGATGCTATTCCTATTGTTTGACAGGTACAACAATTTGGGGGTGGGATCTCTTATTTGCTATTCACTCCTTTCCTCCTCCCAGCAACATGGAAAACTGCATTACTAAAGTTCTTGGGCCACGTCGGCTCAATCTTGGAACTGTTTCCTCTGATGAATAGTCTATGAGCATGGTACAGAGCAGGTAGACTTCATCTGTTTTCTGGCTGAGACAGCTTATAGCTGATGATTAAGATGATGTTCATTCTGATTAGGGACAGATTATCTGATTGAACATATGGGAGCTGGGTTTGGCAGCTCTTACAGGGTCCTTGAGGGTACTTGTTCTGATTGGAAACCTGAGTTGGAATGGGAGAGAACCTTTTAGAAAAAGTATGTCGATTATGGGAGTTAGGGAATTTTAAGAGTTAATTTACTTAGTGGATCTATGGGGCAAGTAGAAGAAACCTTTTTAAGAGCAGTCAGGATTGTACAAGTGACTAAGAAATGAAATTCATAAAAAGGTATCTCAAGATTGCAATAAAAAGAATTGTTGAAAAGGCAAGTCTGCAAACAACCAAATCCATGAGGGGATTTGATAGTGGTTCTTGTTTCTCTGTGAATGCTGAATTAGTCACCTGACCAATAATTTTTGAAACAGAGATCCTGCAGATGGCACTCTTTCCTCAGGCCTGGAAGTATCACAAGGCATGTAGGCCTGGTCTGTGGAAACAGAAGCTAGAGAACCTGTCCATTTTACCCTCAGTTTATATTTTGGTCTTGGTCAGCTCTTGAAAGGTCATTTGACTCTGAGCAGCATTTATACTGTAAGCTTCAGTATGTTGCTGAACAATCATTTGGGATAGCTCAAACTGTTTTCTTTGATTAACATTTAAGGGGAGATGGATAATCCCTTTGTCATGCTTGCTAATAATTATCACTTAAGGAGGTGATTCTTAGCTTTTTTGTGGCATTTCATTCTATCATCTGATTTCCCAAGATTTTATCTTCTGAAAGTACTAAGTGGCACACAAATATACAGACACACACCTTAGAGTATTTTTGTGATCATAAAAATCTGGCCCAAAGAAGTATTTTGTCCAAGCTCCATGCCTTTTTTTTTTTTTTTTTTGTGCTAGGGATAAGTGATGATGTGTATAGTAGTGACTTCTTAGTGATGGGAGATAGCCAGAAATGCAAGAAGGTTAGCTTGTTGGCCATTACTTCTTGTGCAGAAAGTCTTGATATAAAATGATCTTTCTGAGTTGTGTGTTGTTTTGATGCCTATATTCTTCCTAATACTGATTCTGAACCTTTGTTTTGTAATAATTATGTCCTAAAAATATGCATTTTGCCAAAGCCTAAAAATTCCTAAAAATTGCAAAGCCCCAGCTTGAGAATTTCAATTATTGTATGATTTAGATAAATCCCTCACTTTGTTGGGAGAAGTTTGGTTAAGAATTTTGTGATATCACAAGCTATGACTAGAAATAGCATTAGATGTCTCCAAATCAAGTTATGAAATCTCTGCCTAGAGGTTGGGGAGGAGGGCAATAATTCTGATGAGCTATGTTTAAGTTCTTCACTCCTCTTCAGAAATCAGGTGTCCTAGTTTTTTTGTTTAGTGCAGAGAGTAGGGAAGGAGTAAATGGGTCTTAGCTATTGAAGAAAGTAGTACCAAGGCCAGAAATACCAATGTCCTCCTGTGCCACAGGCTTAAGACTTTGTGTATTCATTTCACTTAATATTTATTGGGTGGCAGGCACTGTTCTAAGAACTGGATGACAATAACAAGCCCAAAACAGAAATTCCCTTCTCCTATTATAGTTTAAATTTTAGTGAAAGACAAATTATAAACACAAAATTTAAATTAAATACTATGTTTAAAGGTAGTAAGTGCTGGGGGGGGGGGGAGCACCTGTAGGGGTGATTGAGGATTAGGAGCTCTGAGAAGGAGCAGGAGCGAGTGGCAATTCAGTGTACCATCTTGAGAAGGTTAGCTAGCCATGTGGATATTGGAGACAATTAAGCCTGCCTTGCAAAGGCTTTAAGATAGGTGCTATACTTGTGAGCTCAGAATAGTGGAGAGTAAGGGAGTGAGTAGGAGGTAAAGAGGTGACGAGGGGAGAGAAGTAAACACATTAGATCACGGAAGCAAGTGCCATATAGTGTATTTCAAACTTGAACTCATTCTGTAGTCTGTGAACTTTGTTTATTATTATCTCTGGTGTTTCTCCTCACTTCTGTACCCAGGAGCTTCCTGTATCCCTTTCTTTCCCAGTTCTCCCTTCAGGCTTACCCTATATCAATTCCATTCCCATTCTCTGAATATTGAGTATTAAGTATTATATACCTTAAAAACAACTGACCTCTTCCCCAATTATTTGCTTCAGTTAACCCTTTTCTTTTCCCTTTTTTTCTCCCTCACTGATCAAATCCCTTCCCCTCAAAGTTTCTTGAAATAATGGTTTTTATAAATATCAGCACATTCTAGGCTTTGACCTCCCTGATATTATTTTTTCCATAATGAAACTATTTTTACAGTTTTGCTTATGAATAGCCTGTTGAGATTTTTTTTTTTTTTTTTTTGAGATTGGGGGGTTTGATTTTTGTTATAGAATTTATTGCTGGTTTCCATCTGCAGCTGTATAACTGTACTTTTAAAAAAACTATGTCATCATTTTATTATAAGGTTAAGTTTTTCATCTTGAAAGCCCCTCTCCCCACATTCCTTTTTATCCACAGTAGTATAATGTCTTTATTTTAAAGGGTACAGCCATGAGATAATTTCTGGTATTTTTCTGTGCGCTTTGAAATACACTTTTCCTAAAACCAGGGCCTGTGCCTAGACTGTACCATTTCTTTTTTATTCTATTGTGAAATTACCAATTATTCTTTCTAGCTGATGTTTTGGATAAAAAGTTCCTTTCTTTTTTTTTTTAATATTTATTTTTTAGTTGTAGGTGGACACAATACCTTTATTTTATTTTTATGTAGTGCTGAGGATTAAACCCAGTGCCTCATGCATGCTAGGTGAGTGCTCTACCTCTGAGCCACAACCCCAGTCCAAAAGTTCTTTTCTTTGAATATTTAACTTTATGAAAATCAGAGGCAACTAGATTTTTAAGTGTAAGGCAATTAGAAAAAATATAGGAAATTCTGATTTTCAGCAGACTTATGGAGACCTGATCCCCTACATTCTTGTGTCAACTTATTGTTCATGTTAGAAAAATATCAGCCATCTCTTTCATTTTCCTGGATAGTACTGTGGTATATACATGTGGCAGTTGTATTTCTGATTTTTTTCTCTGTTTCTCTTTACCCCAAGTGCCTGTTGTTTCACTTTATCAACAACTATGAGAATTTAACTGGGGATTTTTGAGAATTCAACAGAATATTTACTTTCTGGGTTCTGTTTGTCTTTTTACTAATTTCTATCAGCAAAGCAGCAAAAGCGAAGATTAGGTTAGTTAGAAGAGAAACAGATCTAAAGGCAGCACACTCTCATTGAGAATAATAGTATTCTTCCAATGAACCTACAAAAGCAAGCGCCACCTTTTTTGCTTTTCCCTGAAGTTAGCTTCAAAATAGAAGAAAAGGGCACCAGAGAAGCCTTTATTCTGGTTTTAAAATCTCTTTGTATCTCAAGAGAGATGGGTAGGAACTATGGATAGAGTACATGGGGATAAAAGGAGAAGGAGAAAATAGGATAGAAGGGAGCATGTCTGATCCTTTGCAGGACTTCAGCTGTGGCCTGTTAGTCAACAGGGACTTAGGTAAGAAGGATAGAAAAGGTAGTATTGGAGCAGTAGTGTCTGTGGGCTCTGGGTTTCATGCCCAAGTCTGTGTTTAATTAGTTTTATGGTCCTGGGACAGTTAAACTTCTCTCTTAACACTCAAAATTCTCATTTATAAAATGGGGATAATACCATGACCCAATATATGAGAAGAGTAAATTTGGT